AAAGAGAGGAGATTTTCAGAAAAATCCCTCTAAAATAATTATTAAAACTTCATTTTTTTTACAAATACTATCTTTTTAATATACTATAATCATATAATATTAATATATGTATCTATCCAACTCTCCTATTAAACCATGCTCACAAGTGTATTTTAGAGTAAACTTTATTTTGAAATCATAATAAAAGTTTTCACCCTTTGAATATAATAAATTTTAAACTCTCCTGAATTTTAACTCATGAAATCAAAGTAAAATTTATTATGATTCAAAGTAAAGTTTTATATCGTTAAAGGCAAATCAAACATGTTTTTACCAGAGTTAAAATTTACTGTTACAAAATAAAAAGCATACCTAAATGAATGAATTATACGTCAAATTTTACTTCATTAGGATCTATTAACAAATCAAATAAATAAACATAAAAGCCTATTGATATGACATTTTTGATTACTCAAAAAATGATATCAGAAAATAATCATGGTAATCTACCATGTGAGGATCTTCTCGATCAGCATGGCAACGGTAGTGGATCGGAGCAGCGAAACTTCGATTCCAAAGACCCTAAGAAATCGACCCAAAGAAAGAGATCAGACTCCTGATCTGAAAGGCGAGCAATGAGCTGAGGCCCAAACAGTCATTGAGTAGTTAGCGGTGGCAGCATCTCTCAAACAAGGTTGCCGATCTTTGGATCTGTGCTCTCTGTCGCTGATCTTCTTTAGTAAGGAGGCGGATGAGGAGAGAAACTGAAGAAAGGTGCGGAAAGCAGAGTGGGCGTGGAGAAGTGGGAAGATCTAGTTGAAAGTTAATAATAGTCGTGATAAAATATTTAAATAATAAATTTTGTCTTTTATAATAAACTTAAAGGATATTTTGAAAGTACACAATTTTTTTGTTTTGGTCCTTTCAACAATAAAAGAAAAGGTAAGAGAGGTTTAAATGGTCCAAATTTTCCTTTTTTTATGGGGGAGGGGGTAGGTAGAGCCTAAAGCATTACCCAAGCAAATCTTTATAAATAGCTTTTTATATATTACAAGGTTGATTCTTAAAAATATTTCTCACAGTAGATCCTTATAGCAATCTTCTTTTTAAATTAGGATGTTAGTGTCAGCACTTTTTATTTGTAAGAATTCGTTGTACCTCTCTTAAATTTGAGGGTGATTTGGGCAAAACTTGCTTCGCCAGCCACTCATCCGGACGTCTGCCCGATCCACCTCCCGAAGGTTCTATGGGCTAAAGATTGAAGAAGTAAAAACGAAGACCAACAAATTACCTGGAAACAACAATGCTTGAACAGTGCCTGGAAAGAGAGAGAGAGAGTGAGTGTGTGCTTGAACAATACTTAAACACTGCCTAGAGAATGAGAGGGCGCGCCTGGAAAGAACCATGCTTGAACAAATGACATTCTTCTCATGTTCGTCATTTTTTTTATGAACAATGCTCTGCTACTGCGTTCTGTTGCTTTTTGTTTAATTATTTTATTATTAAAAAAATTTAAATTTAAAAATAATTAAAAAAACAGTTCCGCTACGGAGCCCGTATGGGCTGGGGCTCGAATGGCTCAAAAGTTGTTTTCCCCTCAAAATGTGATGCACGTGGAACCCACGTGTTCTGGTTAGGATATCAAATAAATGAAAATGAAAAATAAAACAAACACAGAAAAGAGAGGAGATAAGAGAGAAAGAGAGAGGGAACTAGAAGACCCCCGACTTGGGTTGTTTATTAACAACCTCGACGACCACCGACCTGGTGTTCACCGACAACGACTGACCTGGTGTTCACCGACGTCCTCAAGTAAAATATTAGGTAAGTTAGTTGTGTATTTGTGTCGATGTTTCCATTTATTTATCTCTGTATCGTAGACGATTTTGACATTTGTTGATATATAGAACTTTATTGGTTAGAATGATTCAATAGGTTTTCTGAACTATTTCTGTATCCCTTGATTGTTATTTTAATTTTTTTTTGGTTGATCTAAGATTCATTTGTAAGAGGCAACTGTGTGATGTTTGTAAAAAAAATTTTTTTTGGTTGTTCTGGAATGAGGCTCAGTTAAACATCTTCCATTGAAGTCATGCATGCCAATTGTTTGATGAAAGTCCCCATAGAGAAATTATCCTTATTTTATGTTATGAGTTGAAGAGAAAAGACAATCATTGTTCCTGAGATGAAACTGATGGCCAAACCTTTAATTAATTAAATTATGGAAGGAGAACCATAAGCATTCAACATGTCCATAAGATGAAATTTAATTATGTAATTTAATTGAAGAGAAAAGACAACCACTGTCAAATTACATCCATAATTCTTCTGTGATTTTATCACATGTTGTAATTTTAATTATATGATTTTATGATCTGTTAGAAAAATTAAAAGAAGAGGGGGAAAGAAAAAGAAAGAAAGGAAAGAGAAAATAATCACCCTAAAACAAACTTTGGTAAAACTTTCCTACCCATATATCATAATGCCCAGACAAGAAATCATATGAAATAAGTAATACAAATGCACAGACAAACAACCATGTGAAATAAGTAATACAAGTTTAGGGACCATAGTAACATTTTACACAAGCATGTTATAACAGCCTAAATAAATAAATAGCTCATCTTAACTCACCTATCTTGCATTGCATTGGATGCCCTTAGGTGGTTCCTGCGTACAAGTAAATGCACACAACGAGCATATTTAGTCAAGTATAATGCTTCCTCTATGGCTGTATCACCTCCTCCAACCATATTTAGTCAAGCATAATTATGTTATGTTGGAGAACCTTAGGAAAATTGAAATGTTGTGTATGAAAAATCACCCAAGTTGCATGTGATTTGCATTATATTATCATCTGACTACATGCATTTATACTTTATTTGCTGTGTGGTTACTAGTTATGTTGTTTGAATTTTGGTTTCAAGCTACATGCTTCAATGGATATTGATTCAAACAATCCTTCAATAAATGGGACTGAGGAAGTTGAAGAAGTGGAGAACAATCCATCATTAAATGAGATTGGTGAAGTTGAACAACCTAAGAAGGGAATGTGTTTTAACTCAAAGCAAGAAGTTTATTCGTTTTATGCAAAATATGCGAAGCACCTTGGATTTGCTATAGCTTATAGGACACAAAATATTGGACAAGATGGGAAAGTAAAATACTTTGGAATTGAATGTACTCGGGCACGCAAAAGAACAAAACGATCAGAAGTACACCCTCTCGAACCATCTTTGTCATCATTCATTGAATGTAAAGCGAAGGTTAGAGCAACTCTACAAAAGGATGGAAGATTTAAGTTAACCACCGCTGTGCTTGAACATACACATGACTTGATTCCTACTGACTCACGGCATTTTGCAATGAATAAGAGAATTGTTACTCCTGTGAAGAGAAGACTAGAAATAAACGATGAAGCAGGGATAGGGGTGGCTAAGAATTTTCATTCTATAGTTGTTGAAGCAGGGGGGTATGAGGCATTAACATTTGATGAACGAGATGCAAGGAATCATATTGAGATTATGAGAAGATTGAGGCTTGGGGTAGGAGATGCCGAATCAATTGCACTTTATTTTCATAGGATGCAACAACAAAATTCGAACTTCTATTCTGCAATTGACCTCGATGAAGATGGTCGCATGCGAAACTTGTTTTGGGCGGATGCAAGGAGTAGGGGAGTTTATAAAGCATTTGGGGATGTGGTTTCTTTTGACACAACCTATCTCACAAATAAATACGATATGCCATTTGCTCCTTTTGTAGGAGTTAATCACCATGGGCAGTCAATTTTGCTTGGTTGTGGGCTGTTATCTAATGAGAACACTGAAACATTTGTGTGGCTATTCAAAGAATGGTTAAGTTGCATGTCAGACGCTCCTCCAAAAGCTATAATAACGGACCAGTGCAAAGCTATGCAAAATGCCATTGAAGTTGTCTTCCCACAAGCTCGACATCGTTGGTGCTTATGGCATATAATGAAGAAAATTCCAGAGAAATTGAGAGGATATGCCCAATATGAATCGATAAAGTTTGCTTTGCAAAATGCAGTTTATGATTCTTTTACAAAAGATGAATTTGATGAAGAATGGCAAGCGATGATTGCAAAGTTCAATCTGCATGATAATGACTGGTTGGGGGTATTATACAGTGAGCGACATAGGTGGATTCCTGCCTATGTAAAGGACGTTTTTTGGGCTGGCATGTCAACTACACAACGAAGTGAGAGTATGAATGCATTTTTTGATGGCTATGTGAACTCAAAGACAACTTTAAAGCAATTTGTTGAACAATATGATAATGCCTTGAGAAGTAAGGTTGAGAAAGAGATGAAAGCAGACTTTAAATCTCGAAACAAATTGTATGATTGCCTAACGATGTATGAGTTTGAGAAGCAATTTCGTGCAGTCTACACGAATGCAAAATTTAAAGAAGTGCAAGTGGAATTGAAGCGATTATTGTATTGTCGTGCTAATCTTGTGAAAGAAGAGGGAGCAATTTGTACTTATCATGTCAAGGAGGCTATTTTAGTCGGTGAGAAAATGAAGACAGTGGAATGTGTTGTATACTTTAATACAAGTGAATGTGAAATGCAATGTATGTGTCAGTGGTTTGAGTTTAGAGGCATTATGTGTGCCTATGCAATTACTGTGCTACTTGAGCGGTGCATATATCATGTTCCAGATAAATACATTGTATCAAGATGGAGAAAAGATATCGAAAGAGGCTACACATGCATTCTAACCACATACACTAAAGCCGGGGCTGTTGTTAATGCAAAGTTGCATGATAAATACCACAAGATGTTAGATGAAATCCTAGAAATTGCTGCCAATGATAATGGTAAACACCAAGTGCTTGATCTTGGGTTGATAGAAATAAAGGATAGAGTGAGAAAAGATCAATCGAGTAGTGCGAGTCATGCACCACCTTGTACTAGTAATGTACCACATTGTCATAGTTCGTTGAGAAGTCCGTCTGCTCGTAGTACTACAAAAGCAAGCATGTCTCGCAAGATGCTTAGTCCAATGGTTGCTCGCCGAAGAGGCCGCCCGTGTACGAAACGGAAGGTTAGCAAAGTGGATGAAATAGTGAATCGGTTGAAGGAAAAGAGTAAAAGGCCTTCGAAAGCACAAGTAAGTCCTGTTCTTCTGTGTCATATGGAATTTGCTAAATGTTTTGAAGATAATTTATTCACCAATGTGTCTGTGTCTTACTATAGGGACGTACGGTTCCTCAATGTCAGCCTCGGAAGTTAAATTTTCCTTCTACAGATGATGTGCAATACAATACTTATCACGACCCGGTATGTATTTGAATTTTTATGTTGTTGGTTGTTTGCTATTTTAATGTCTGAAATGTATAATGACATTCCAGAACAGTGTGTTTGTACTTTTAGTCTCTTTTTTTGTGTGGAATACTCCTGAGATGAGTTTGCTTGTAGAATACTATTAATGATGTTGAATGATATTGAATGATGTTTAACTATAAAATTAAATGGGGTAGATTGATGATTAACTATCAATGATGTTGAATGATGTTAAATGGGGCAGATTGATGGTTAACTATGAATGATGTGAAATTATGTTGAATGGGACAGATTGATGACTAACTATAAAATTCAGCTTTTACTTCTGCTAAGATGCTGAATGATGTTTGTGAGCCCTCACAGTTAGGTTGTTTATTTGCCATTGTGTTTTTGCTAATTTTTTTTTCCATAGTTTGCTGAATTTGTTCAACCTCCCCATGGTGAATGAATTACAGTTTCCATAGTTTGATTTAGCTTGAGCTTGCTATGATTTATATTGATGTTGCTCTGGTTGTTCTGCTGGTGTGGTTTATGCTGTGATATAGAATGGTTGATGCTATTCTGGGGTCTTAGTTGTGGTCGTGTCTCATGCTGCCTGGTATCTTAGTTGTGGCTATGATATAGAATGTCTCATTCTGCTGTTCCTGTATCCACGCAGTAGTGCTGCCTGTTTTAGTAATTCAAAATTTGTCAAACTTTTGAACAAAATAGATTTGGAGTCTCTTAAATGACTTAATTCAAACACCACAATACATCCCTAAATGAGTTAATTCAAACAGTACATTGCATCCATAATTAAATTACAACATCACATTCAATTAAACTCCTATTACATCCATAATTACATTCATCAAATATCCCAAAAACTAACAGTCAAGCATTTAAATTATTACATAATAAAGTACAAAACGATATAGAGTAGAATCACATAAATCATAGCCTTGAAATTGTTGTCCATCCTTTGAAGCCTTCTACTATGCTCATGTATTTCATTTTCCATCTCAGAAAGCCTTGCCCTGATTGAATTCTTCTGTTTCGATAGCTTTACGAGGTCCACTATTGGAATGGATTGTCGAGGTAACGTCCCCATCATCATCTCAGAAAGCCTTACCCTGACATCATTTTGTTCGATTTGGTTTATGCCTGAATTTTTTTTTCACCTTGTGCTCTAGTTTGATGCTGTGAAATCAATTTTTCATCTCCAAAAATGTTCTGTTCTACAAGTTAGAAGCCAAAATGAGGCACTGCTATACAAGTTAGATAATAAACACTGGAACAAAGCTAAAGTGGCACTATAATAAAATAAAAAAATATATTTTCCAAATGTTTTGTTCTATATCCAATGTGGTGGTTACTGTTATGGAGGGACATTGTCAAAAATTCAAACTTCCAACAAAACATCCCAAGTCAATGCAAGGGCATACACAACACTGATTATAAAAAAATAAAAAATAAAACATAATTCCACTATGTACAATATAATAGTTGAGAAACAAAATCAGAATGATGACATAAGATCACAAGGCAAAACAAATTCTTGAATATTAAAACAAACTTCAATGAACAAAAAACGCTCTATACCAACTAGGAATTCTGATTCCAGTATAACACAAAGACTCTGATTCCAGTATAACAAAAAAAAAATAAAAATAAATTCACAGAGCAGATCACATAATTCGGCAGTTGAAACAAATTGGGGAAAAATTAACTGAAATTGTGATCAAATTTTGTTTTCTGGTACACAGATTAACTGAAATTATTAGGGCAAAATACAAAACCCTAACCCTAGTTTTGTACAGTTTACCTGCGATTCGGGTGTGAGGATGAACTTTTCGGCATCGTCTGGGAGAAGAGAGGAGGTGATACGCTGGAATGATTCCGAAATGAACCGGAAGAGCAGATGAATCGGAAGTTGAATGAAGAACAGAGCAAGATGAGGAAGAGAGTTGGGTATAACACTAAAAAAGGAGAGAGAGCGAGGTAAAACACTGAAAAATGATAGAGAGCGAGATTGGGGCGTTATGCCGCGTGAGCCCACGCTTTCGGGGCATTCGAGCCACCACATTCGGGCCCTGAAGCATTTCTCTATTTGTTGGGCGGTGGCTATTATCATTGATGTATTGTATTATTTGAGAAGTGGTTTTGGGGCTAAAATAGTCACAAAAAATAAAATAGGTTATTTTAATCATAACAAACAAAACATTACATCCAACCCATAGTCATTACACTCTTCTTTTATAAAAAAAGTCAAAAAAATTAAAAAGTCAAAAAGTCAACCCACTCCCCAAACGATATGCTATCTGTCTGGTTTTTTTATTTTTTATAAATTTTTTATAATGACACAACTTTTTTATTTTTTATTTTTTTGCAACACAATCTTTTGATAAGAAAAATCTAAGGTCCTGTTTGGTATCCTTTTTAAAAAAAGAATAACGAAGAGTTCAGAAAAAGACGCCTCATTTTTATATTTGCACGCAAATATTTTTCAAACTTTTTCAAACCGATTTGAAAGTTTTAAAATGGGATGTTTTGGTGAAATTTTCAAGAAACTACTTTTTGGAAAGAATTTGCCAAATTGTTTTTGTTATGGTTTCGAAAATAAATAAATAGAAATTGAAAATGACACAAAATAGAATTTTTTGTACTTTCTTACTTGTTTTCCAAGCTGTTGTTGTTTGGTGGATTTTCTTCTGGTACTTATAAGCTGCATGCAATGTCCGTGCATAATACATTAATCACTCGATTGTCGATTCAATTTACTGAGTTCTAGAATAAGAATAAGATTATTTTTATATATTTATACTTGTGATCTGTACGGGGAAGAAATATTCAATAACGCCTATACTCCTTGCGTCTAAACTCCGCTCCGATTAATCTATGGACACAACGACGGTGAGCTACCTGGCGGTGTGTGTAGACGTCCCCGAACGTCCCGGGAGGAATGAATCCCGTTTCTGTTCGTTTGTGGGTTTACTACAGTTTAGGACTCAAATTGTCACGGTTCTAAATTTGAACCAAAGAGTCCAAATCCGGCAAATTGTTTTTGAAAACAAATTTTTTGTAAAGAAGTGCCAAACATGGACTGCTTTGCCAGATACAGAGTCGCCACCTAAATATTTTTTATGGGGGAATTTAGGAAATCCTGACTCGTTTGCCTAAGGCCATGTGTCCGTCATCACCAAAGTTGCCTCGGCTCGGGAACTTGGGTACAATTGGGGAAGGTTAGCTATGAGCACGCCCGCTTGCCCGATCCGAAGATCGGCCTCTACTAACCATGATATCTAGTTTTGAAAACGTTATGTGTTCTTATTCCGATTAATTAGCTAATCTTACTATGTGATGCGCACAACACAAAAGTATAGATTAGATCGCCTAATTTGGAACAAAGCATTGCATATCCGTTTGTTCAGAAAATGGTTTGAAATTTGCTGCTCTCAAGTAGGCTAAAATACGGATTTCAACGAGTTGTTCCAACTCAAGCAATCCAACCTTCACCCACAGGCATTCAGGCAGTAATATCACATAAGCACATAGCCACATGGTAAGCATACTGTCATGTTAACATTCACACTCATGCGAGATGCTAAATCATAAATACTTACAGCGTACTCCGAGCCAAAACAAAGAACATGTTAGCGATCAAACGTATGATCCAAGTCCATGTTAAATGGCTAATGCATCACAGGCAAAATGCAATCTAGAATAGGCTCGACTAATCCTAGGATGGCATGTGAAATGCAACAAGTAACATGTATTCAAGTTAGATTTGAAATACTATGCAGTTAGCATGATGCGCCGAGCCCGGTGCATGCAATATTGATGAATGAATGCACACATGCATAACATAAGGTATGCTAAATTAAATATGCCCGAGTACAAACCATGAAAAGCAGGTAAGTAAGTACAAACCATCAAAAGCAGGTAAGTAAAAGGGAGAAAGAAATAGGGTTTGGAAGACATGCACACACACCCACACACACCCACACCCACACCCACACTTATTACACATTGGCCCTCGCTCGGAGGGACCAAAAGAATAATATAAATTAATTAACCTACAAGCTAATTAATTATTACAGACCACTTGACTAGTTAAGAAAATTAACTAAGCTAAGAAAGCAATAAAACAGCCTCGGGAAGAGGGTCCAATGCATACGTGCTCGGGTTTGCTCGGAAATCCGTCACCATGCACAAGCTGCCTCTGTTTACCCTGCTTTGTTCTTCTGAAAATTGCACAAGTCCCCAGGAATACTCTCTGAACACTGTGGAGCATCACCGACCAAGGGGAAACATCACCGACCATGGTAGAAGGGTCATCGACCAAATATTCAGCTCTCAGCCATCCATCATTGGTCGATCGACACTTTATGCAGTCGACCGGCCATATTTATCTGCAGAATCTTGTTTTGACAGCAGCAGAGGGCAAACATGGCATGGCAATGCATTTCAAGCAAATATTTGCACAAACACCCTCCTTATCATGTTCATGACTCAATGGAGGATGGTCCTCGACCCTCGCGCCACCAATTGCGCATTTCAATGCGTGATGGCCAAAGAGGTCAAGTTATGCATTTTGATGTCAAATGAAATGCAAACCAAATAAACACATAAGGCCCAACCTCTATCACTTGATCAAGAGACAAGGCATGCATGCTCAATGCAATGCAACCTAGACATGTGAGCTAAGTATGCAATCATGAGCATGAAAGCAAGTAATGTGTACTAAGCATACAACCTAAACAAACAAACATGCAAGGCCTGTAACAACATGTGCAAGCCAACAAGCATGCAATATGCAATGCGAACATGCAAACATGCAAGACACGTAACATGTTAAGCAACCATGACAAAAGGAAGAAAACATGCTAAATGCAATGTGATTCAACATGCAACACATGCGATAGGCCAAGTATGCAACAACACACAAGGCGAGCATGCAACAACATGCAAAGGAGGGACTTACACCAAGATGGACAGCTCTCTACTAGGTCCAAAACAGTGGCCAAATACTAAGGAAATGAAAGCCAAAACACATACAAACATGCATGCACACATGGCCCAACTCTTAAGCATAAAGAAGTAACTTTTAAGAACACTTAAAAGAGGATAAACATGGACTAATGGCAAGCATAGCAAGCTCTGAAAATACATGAGAAATGATGCCAAATCAACCTATCAATGCAAGCAAGGCATGCAACTATGTCCAAAACTCAAGGTAAGCCAAGGGGCTTAAACCATAGCTATATGAAGTAAGTCCCAAAGGGCCATGGGGACTCAAAACCACCCCAAGGCAGATCAAAACAAGGTCAAAGGCACACCTAGATGGCATCTAAATGGCCTAAGTCTAAAGGCATGCAAAAGGGTTCAAACATGGAGCATAAGATACCAACCTCTTGAAGCATTAAAGGAGCATCAAATGCAAGCATACAAGCATACCACAAGGACTGAAATGATGTTATAAGTGGTGCCAAACCACTGAAACAAGCCAAGTAATGCATGCTCAACACTCATACACCCAAGGCTAACAAGCCAAAATGCAAGGTGGCTATGCAAAGCATGTCATGGATGGCCAAAACAACTCCAAACAGACCTTAAGCATACTAAGACATGCATAAAAGCTTCACAAAGCTAGGCCAAAAACATGCTAGAAACAAGGCTCAAAGCACAAAGCATGTTAAGGCAATTCATGGCATTACAAGACAAGTATGCAAAGCAAGCATGGTGTGTCTAAACCAACTTAAAAAAGTGCTATATCATGGCAAAATAAGCACAAATACTAGCTAAGACATGGCCAACATGAACTCAACTATGGTGCTCACACATGAGGCTAAAATGACAACTTTTGAAGACAACAAGGTGAGGGGATGGCCCACTCCTTCTTAGGACCTGAAAGCACCATCCCCACCACGTGAGGAAGCCCAAACAAGGTGATCCCGGAGCTCACCAAAATAGCACAAAATGGGGGCCAAACAAGGCTTAAGAGGGGTCAAACAACACCAAACACCAAAACAACCTTAAACAACTATTTTAAGCACTTAAAATCAGAACTTTTATATGTTTTAAGTTAAGCTTAAAAACAGATGCAAGGATGGCTAAAAGCCTATGCAAAAATGGAGAATAAAGGGGTAAAGTTCTTACCCTTGAAGACCTTCTTCACAAGGACCACTCCAGCCCCTTCTCCAAGCTTAGATCAACTCAAGAACCCTGAAAATCACTCCTTAGGACCTCAGTAGCTAAAGGAAAGTGTAACTCCAGGTGTTTGTGTGCAAAACTATGAACAAAACACCTTAATACACACACAAGAGAAAAAGAGAGGGAGATATAGAGATAAATAGATACACAAGACCTAACCCTAATTCAGACCTCTAGAACTCTTTTTTATGTAACCCTTAAGGAGGGAGGAGAAGGCCTCCCTTTATAGAGGATCACTCTTGCAAAGCTTACAAAACAAGCTAAGTAAGAGTGAAATCCCTCCATAAATGTGTATGGAGGGGGTGCAAAGTGGGTGCCAACTAGCACAGCTGGCACAAAATATCTGCCAAAAGTAGATGCACAGTGGTCGGCCAGCCAAAAATGCCAAATTGACAAAATAAATGGTCGACCGACCAAACATTTGGCCGATGGTAACAAAACAATGGCCGTTGGCCTCAAGCCATGGCCGGTGAGATGTGGGGATGGCCAACAAGCCATTCCCTACTCCTCAAAAGCAAAACACAAGTGTTTGGTGCAAAACCAAACACAAAATAGGCAAGTCGAGAGGTCTTGAGGCAAGGCGCGTGGCCGAGACCTCCGAGAACTCAAGACGAACACGAACATGGATGATCACCGAGTGTTCAAATGGTGACGTCCAAGTCTTGAGGACGGTCAAAAATGGGGTGTCTACAGTGTGTTGTCGGAAAGCTCCTCCGACGGTCAAGTCAACACACACTCAGAGAGAGAGAGAGAGAGAGAGAAGAGCTGAATGAATGTTAGGTTTTTCTCACCAAATGATGTTCCATCTCCAACATGGGGGGCGCAATTATGCTTATATACTTTCTGTGTTCACCTTTGTATTCATTCGCCTATTGACATGTGGAGCAGTTCT